GTTGTGATACTGAACATGACGTCCTCCACCCCCGAACGTTTCCGCCGTTCCGGTTTTGGGGTGTGACAGCTTAGTATTAATGTATGAATGTTTGCGTTGCTATGTTTCATTTATATACAATTGTTATGATACTGTACAAGGACGTCCTCCGCCCCGGACGTTTCCACCGTTCCGGTTCGGGGGTGTGACACTCTAAAGCTGTAAGCTTCTGTAACATCCAATTTCAGGATGTTTCGGATTTTGCTGTTTACAAAAAACGCAAATAGGGGAGAATAGAAGGCGATTTTGAGGTGTGGAATAAATGGGATCTGAGAGATCCTATTTATAATGAATACGGAAAACCAAATCCCCCAAAAAGCAGATATGATGAGGACGAACAATTACTCATATGCTGCCATGTGGCAATTTGAATTTCAAATCCGATGACGTCGTTATTTGGTATCTCATCTGATGCGACATTGATTTTATCTAGTATTTTATGGAGGCTTTTGGAATATTCCATTTGCTTATTCGCGAAGTCAACGTTGACCGAGTTGGTCAAACCGACCCGACCTGAACTTACCAAAAATTAAGCTCCTTAGCCCACAACGACCGATGTGTCGTGTCATTGCCATGTTTAACTAAATCACCCCATTTTGCATACTTACGCTACGACTAGGCTCTGTGTGTGTGTGTGATTGGCCCATCTCTTGATCCCTAAAGCCTTTGAAGACCTATCAAGAGAAAAGACATATAAACCCACACAAGCCCCCCCCCCCCCCAAATATGGGATAAAGGTTAATTAGCCAAACTTGCTATTATACCTTTATAATTTCCAACAGTCCCCCACCGAAGTTGGAAAGTTTCCTTTCATTATGAAAAATGATGTCATTTGGGTGTCACAAAGATTAAACCCTTGCTTATGTGGACAAACAAGAGGACACTGATTCAATTTTATCCTTATAGGTTTAAACCAAGAACATTGTGACCTCCTCGGTTTACCCCTACACATCCCTTTCCATCTATACGTTGTCACTGAGCGCTAATATGACCATGTGTTTAAGTCCTTTTCATGACCATTTAGAAGATAAACCATTAATCTTCATTTGAGGTCGCACCACCTCTAGATCATATAGGTAAAGTTTTACAACATCTTTGTTGCTTAGATGTATCCCAAACTTTGTTAGAACCCTTAACTCAACCTTGTTTTGGGTAATGACGTACTATCCTACCTCACATGGATCTATCATTAATGATAGTACTTCTTATCGTTTGTGACTTCATTCTTACCTTTTAATTGAGATTTAGGAACACTAATGTCAAGTTAGGTTTCCATCACTAAATGATTCTACTTTAATTTTCATGATGAATCTAGGAAGATGAACAACAACCAACGAGATATGAACCCTTGATGTGTCTGTTGGCGGAGCAAAGAGATAGAGCAGGGAACGACGAGGAGTGGTGTGAGGGTGGCCGAATTTTCAATGGAGTGATGGTATGGTGTCTTAGTTCACGCAGGGGGTAGGGTTCTCAAATAAAGATAAAATTGAGGAAAATGGAGCTTAGAGAGAATAGAAAAAGAGAAGGAAGGAAGTGAATGAAATGTACAATCGTCGACATCGATGGCGAGGGCAATTGAAAGAAAGGAACGAGATGTGAGTGTACCTAATATGACTTTTTAAAATCATACAATGATATCTACACGGAAAAATACAATACATCATTTTAGCCACGTTAGACCAATTGGTGTACCAAGGAACTGCACCCTGCGGTGGGTCACATGGCAGCGCGGTGGTGCGGTAAACACCACACCGCTAATGATGCGGTGGGTTGGCCAAGCCACCATGTTAGAACTTCTTGCATGTTGTGTTGGTATTTCTTGTTGCTTCTTGTGCATAGGAGCAGTGGCAGAGCCATGATCAAAGTAAATGAGTATCTCAAAAAAATTCTCGAAAAAAATTACACTACTGAAAAAAAAAATCGAAAAAAATCAAAACTGAAAATATTATTAACAGAAACGGTAAAGAAACTAAAAAAATCAAAGTTTTTTTTTTTTTAAAAAAGAATCAAGTTATAAAAAATTATGGAAACTATAAAAAGAAATTGTATCAAATCCGTCAATCAAAGTTAAAAAAAAAAAATCAAAGTTAAAAAAAAAAAGTTATACAAAAAAAAATCATTGGAAAAAATGAAAGCTGAAGAGGTTTGAAGAGACAAGTCAAATGTTGCATTGCGCAGAACACGCACAGAAGTTTGTAGTCAGAAGCTTTAAAAAAAACTGCTACGAGAAAGAAAATATTGCACGTGTGTCGGCAAAAAATGATCTGAAAAAGATTTTTTTTTGGAAAAAGACAAACTTCACCTAAATCCTAAATGACCTTATAAAACCAACCAATGACAAAAAATAGTTACCTTATATCATCGTTAACCCTAAAAAAATGGTGTAAAAACTAAAAAGAGTGGAGGAAAGTTTTTCTGATTAAACCCTTGAATATTCGTCGATATGATAGCAGGGGTTTTGCCATTTCCAGAGCTATAAAAACGAAACCCATGAAGATAAGAGTTTGAGCTCCAACATTTAGACATGGCAATGGCAGTAGCGACGAAGTCCTTTGGATTCACTGACCTCCACTCACTATATTCATCTGTAAATAATCCATGGTCTTATCTTAACTTATTCAAGATCTGCCATTATTCATCATCATAACTTTTACAAAATCCTCAATAATATCTTTCTGCAGAAACTCGAGTTGAGTCAAGCTCATACACGGCGTTCCAACCTTTCTATCCAATCCAAGGTCATAGATAGACGGACGTAGTTATCAATTGTTTCCTTGTTTATATGTGTATTTCAGTATCTAATTTGATATTTCGTTTTCTAGGGCGCACCGGACGTCGGCGGTGGGCGTCGGCGGATATGGAGGAGAAGAAAATTGGTACCAACTCTCTTAACTTATGGCTCTAGATTGTATGTATTTTAGGATTTGGGATTCCGGGAGGTTCATTGTTATCTGTTGATGTGAAAGTTGTCCAACCTTGAATATATCATAAATCACACAATTATCACCATAAGATATTGTTTTGGATATTATTTAGGTATTTTCATGATTTTTCCTGAGATCTATCCAGGATCGATAAGTTCTTCCCTCGGTTCCCAAAAAAAAAAAAAAAGATTACTAGATCTGTTGTACATTATTTAAGCATTTCTGATACAGTTTTTACTTAATTTATAGTTGTGGTGAGTTTTGAGTTTAGGATGAAGCATGGATGAACATAAAATGTGAAGTTTCAAGTGTTTGATGGGTGGGTTGGGTATGTATGTGAGTTGAGGATGAACAAGTTACTTTTTGTTTGTGTATTCATGGTCTAAAACTGTTTGAGTGAAGTCTGGTTTTATTGATGATATTATGATTAAATGTTATGAGTAATTTTAAAAATGCAGACGAAAAAAGATGAAATGATTGGATACGCACAGGAAAGAACCCCGTTTGTGGAAGAGCAGGTGAGGGACATATGGGAGACTGGGAAGCTGGTGGGGTATGACATAGAGAGGCTGAAGCTGTGGGAGGATAATGTGTTTGTTTTTGTGAGGAATTTGGCTGCTGAGGCGAATGAGTTGGTGGAAAACAACAAAGATGAATATGGAGGGAAAAAGAAAGCAATACTTCATGCAATCAGCAATAGAATGAATGAGATGGGGTTTTATAGACCAGAAGCCTATATGCGAACCGACCCCTTCAAGCATATCACAAAAGCAGATACCGATACCCATCAACAAGATGACTAGTTAGTCTAGTTGGATTTGGATTTGGATTTGTTGTAGCTGTAATATTTTTATGTTTTAGTTCTGGGAGGATGGATAACCACTAAACTAAAAAATAGCATATCATTATCCCCACCCACCCATCTTGTAAAATGGATTTTGCCAAGTTACTTTATGAATGTATCGTAGGTTTTTTTTTTTTTTTTTTTTTTTTTTTTTTTTTTTTTTTTTTAATAATAAAATAATTTAGGGTAACTTGTTATCTTGTATCCTGCTTCCATTGTCACTTTGTCATTGTCTTCTTATAGGTCAGGTCTTCTACATAACTCCATGCCTCCTACAGAAACACCAGGAAAAGCAGCCAGCCAATTAGCTTCAGCTCATTTATGGTTTCATATTTGATTTAGTTATGTTATGTTATTGGCACCACCTCTGCTGAATGCTGATTGGTCAGTTTTGGCGGGGGGGGGGGGCACAACAATAGTAGTAGTATGATTTGTGGTCCAATTTCATTAGTTTTTGGTAGCTAAGAATTATTTTGTAACCAAGTTTGTCGAAATCAAATGAATGGACTTAGTTTGATGTTCAGTTGATTACCAGTCCAGTCCTTGTTCAGTTGCAAAGATACATACATCTTTCATATTTTTCAGTCTTTTGGCATATTGTTGTGCTTAATCTGTATAGGAAAAATGAGCAGCAAAATCCCTTTATATATTAATTAGATACAACTTTTACATTGTATGGCTGAAAGTACATCACATAGGTGATATGGATTCAGAATATTCCAATGGCATATTTGCTAAAACTGTTCCATTTGGAATATTATGTTACAGGTAAGGTAATATTCTCTCTTGAGTTCATAAATCAACTTAAGGAGATGTTTTGTGGTGGGCATATACATATTATGCAGATTCAGCCTCCAGTTCAGACGAGTCTCTTACGCAGCAGGTATCAATCTCCATGCTTGTTTCTTGTAATCTCAATTAGGTTTCATTCCGAGTTTCAAGTGTCAATATATTTTCCATCAAATCAAATCATGTGACGGCTGAGGCTGAGCCTACCCTGATTGGCTTTAGACATCCCAAAACTCTTGCTCTTTTTATGTACTCAAATACCACCAAAAATAAGCCCAATATATACAAAATCATAATTCTCATCTTTTCTGCAATCCCAGAATTGCTGCTTTCTGTCTCTGAATTTAATCTGCTGCTAGATGATGATGTCCAACAGTCTGAGAATAAAAACAACAGTCTATTCTTCATATTCATTAATTAATTATCTTTTCAAAGACTGTTGTAGTAATATACTTACTAGAGGTAGATGTGTTTGGCTTTGGGGATAAATTAGTCCAGTCAAATGGGGTTGTCTTGGTTTCTGATGCTTTGATCAAATCCAGTAGAGCTTCATTCACCTCTTTACTCCTCTCATGACTCACAAGATGACCTCCTGGAAGCTCTACCATTTTTGCAAGTGGATAAAGTTTGTGTGCAAGCCTTTTTGCATGAGATATTTGAGCAATCACATCACACCTCCCATGAATGACTGATATCAACAAACCATTCTTGCCAATCACTTCAACTTCTTTTTTAGAAATTCTGTGTGTCCAGCAGGCGTTGACCTGCCCATCAAACCCATGATTTGACTGCATACCGGTTGCTGATATCCCTTCCACATATCCTTGATATAATACCTGTCTTCTTGTTTTAACTCCAATGTGTTGTTCAAGATATTCCTGCATAGATACGTGGGGTGAGGTTCAAACTGTATGTAGGATAATGGATAATGGATAATATAAACATCATCATCATATGGAGAAATGGTATAAAAGAATGAAACCTAACCTGTGTGTAATGAGTGTCCAGATCAACAGCTGCCCTTTGCTCTGGAGTTTTGGCCATCAAGAAACGCATTGCAATGGATAAGGTTTGACGATCAAACTGCATCAAACATTTTCACCATATTAGTAGATGATGATATCAATGATCAATTAAATTATTTTATAAAAAGAGAAGAAAAGGTGATCTAGGAAGGAGTGGCATCAATCAATCTACTAGTAGTGTAGTGTGTGTGTGTGTGTGTGTGTGTGTACCTTGGGGAAACATTCATAGCCTCCACCGGTTACATTTAGCAAAGCCAAGGACAGAACCCTATCTGGGAAAACAGCAGCCACTTTGCAAGCTATCATACCACCTTATTGTATTTGTATGTATCAATGTATCAATTATAATTAAATAAATATACTGAAACAAAATATAAGTATAAGAAATTTATGACTCACCCATTGAATGCCCAAATACATGAGCTTTCTTCCAACCTAAATGCTCCATTACAGATATTGCATCTGCAGCCATGATTTTAGTTCTGCGCTCAACATTCAACATTCAACATTATCCATATGCTGTTTGGTTGGAACTTGACTTTAAGTTGTAATTTGTTTGGAAAATATTCATTATTGAAAAAGATAATAGATGATGAAATATATACCACGAGACGAGTACAAGTTACAATTTTTTTAATTTCTTTGACTGAAACTTCATTCATTATTCCAAAATTTGATTGTTTATTATTTACTCTTAAAATAATTAATATCGCCTGGAACGATTAAGTGTAAAAGTTTTTTTTTCTTCAGTGAGTTCAATTACGCTATGAACACCCGGAATCCAATGTTATGCACCAAAAATTCACACAAATAAGACATAAAATTCTGATGATTTTTTACTGAAATGACAACAGGCTTACGTACGTGTATTCGGATTTGTTTTTAGGTATAGAGCTTCGACCCATTCCTCGATTATCAAAAACACAAATTTCTATCCCATTCCCATTCCCATTGCACACACCGTCTTCGGAGCTCCAAATATCATCAATATCATTCGCCTGCGTCGTCCCAACCAGCCCCTCGATTTGTGGCTTCCATGAATCGTGTGTCCCAGCCAATCCTGACACGAAATTCAACCACGTAAATCGAAGATCATAATTTATTTAGGGAAGGGTACACTAACAGTAATAGATAGATACCTATGATCATGAGAACTTTAACTGGTCCGCCGCCGTAGGTTCTGTAGAAAATCTTGATACCATTGTTGGTAGTTCCGACGTTGCAGTACGGCATCGTTTCTCACCAGAATTTTCAGAGAGGAGAGGGAAGGTGGGTGTTGTCTGAGCTGTAGTTTATTTTTGTAGAAAATAACGAAAATAAATAAATAAATAGATATGTTCATTTTAAAGAAATGGGAAGGAGGGAGGAATTTCCCTTTCAAAATGAGGATAAAATAGCGGACAGGACGACACGTAACCAGGTAAGATGGTCAGCAGTGGCAGCTTGGTCAAAATACACAGTCAACCCGCGTGTCAAACCTTTGTATCACATTTCAATTTCTATTTTTTATTTCTAAATTAAGAAAATATAAGTTATATTATTTTATTTTTAAAAAATGCATTTATATAAATCTTTTTAAAAGAATAAAAAAGAAGTCAAACGACCACTTGATTGTTTTTTTATTATTTTATTTTAGCACCTTTTGTAGTCAAATACACCCATCTCAAAACAAACAAATAAAGACACCTACATATATTAGTATTAATTAATTGAATATATAAAATATTCATCAACAATGAATGAGCAAATAGATATAAGTTGTAGATAAAATAGTATTACCGTATGAAAATTCTACATAAATTGAGTTGAAATTTGTATAAGAAATAATCTAAAAGGGCCAAGTTGAAAATAATTAGATTTTATGTTGGAGTCATAAAGTAAGATATGGATATTAAAATTGTGGCCAAGATTCATCACTATCACATAAGATAAATGCACTACAAGCACATGCGATTCTGGCCTCACGAGTTAAAGCTTGCATATGCGAACTGCAGAACCGGAAGAGTTTTTGGAGTCATAGTTGATAGCGACCTTTATGAATCGGCCAAGTTAAAAAATAATGGACAAGTGTTCAAATAAGAGTCGACGACCTTTAGCTATATTCTTGCCGTTGTGACACGTGTGTCACCCCGATGTGTAGCATAAGTGTCATTGCATAACTAACATATATATTAATAATCCAGTTCAGACGTTTTACTAAGTTTATGGTCGAAAGGAATGACTCGCTAGTCAAGCTCGTCTCCAGCTCGGTATTTACCCCATCATCACCCTGTAGGACGTAACCCTCGCTAGATGACTCGTTAGAATAACCTCGCTACCTGGTTAGCGAGAGGTTAAAGAGAGGAAGGCTCGTATTGGTCAATTTCCTTTTGTTTTGTTTTTTTTAAATCAAAGGATTATGATTGGTTGTTTTTCATTTGTTTTTTTTTTAATTTTTTTTCCAGAATTCAAGTGTATATGAAACTAGGTGGCAGGTAAAAATATGATGTGACAATATGCTAAACATGTTACCACTCCCTATAGCCTAATACTCCTCCTTAATTAAACTAGACTTGGATTACGCCCAATCTAGCCTTCATCTTTACAAATCTCCAACCTAGCTTTAGAACTTTAGTGAACAATTTGATCACTTGATTTGCAAAAGTTGACTTCAACTTCTTCACATGGTATGTACTAACTCCCAAATGAAGTGATATTTGATCCTTATATGCTTGCTTTTCCAGTGTATAATGAGTTCTTAGTGCTATCTCTGATTTATTGTCATAACAACTTATTGTTGGTTCATTTTGAGGGAACTTTAATTCTTCAGCTACCATTTTTTGTTTCTTAGATTGCCATGAAATCACACCTAAACCCAAACTAAAGACATAACCAGAAAGCACTTTTGCTATCGTTGATATCCCCCCACCCCACCATAGGCACTGTCACAATACACCATTAACTTCGGATTTGCAACCTTCTAATATGTAATACCAGGGGCAGACGCAAGATTTTGTAGTAGGTGTTGCCGGTGACACATTTTTTTTACGTAGTGGCACAATAGTAGAAAAAACGAGAAATTAAAAAAAGTTTACACCGCGTCCGAAAAAATATGGGTTGTCGGTGCCACTATAGGCACCATAGTGGAACCGCCTTTGTGTAATACCATGATCAAATGTTCCTTTAATATATCGCCAAGAACCTTTTTCTAGTCGATCTCCTAATGACTTTGCTTGGGTGATTCCATGAATCTGCTCACTATAAACATGATGTCCAACCTTGTAATAGTAAGTCCATATATAATAGACAAAATTTCAGAAATGATCCTTAAGCTTTTCATTTTG